CAGTAAAAACAATAATTTTTAAAAGAATTTCATTTGTAGTTCTAAATATATTCTAAATGCATTTAGGGTGTTTGTTTTAAACATAAGCATGACCAGTTATGCAAATTAGGTGATGACCTCATTTAGCGACTTTTAGCACAGCCAATAGCTGTTTTCCTTACTGAGTTGGCAACACTGTATCAGAGGCTGTCCCTCTGACATGTGACCGGGAATGTAAACACATGGTGTTGCTATAGCAATGATACTGCGATGTAACACCTTTATGTTGCCTAATAATGTTTCTGTGTTATCATGTGACATGGTGCTAGCGGTTGCTGCATGGATGGTATTAGTAGACAGTAAACGACTAATAACAACACGTCTCTTATAGGCTGGAGTTCCTCATGAATCGCAGCTGAAGCAGAGTCTCAGTCACTAGTTTAATAAACTCGTCAGTAAATCTCGTCTTATCGTAAAGGACACGTTAACAATCGTGCTGTGTCTCGTGTTGTATACACAGTAGATGGACGCTTTTGTTTGACACATTGTTGTTGCAGATGGCGGTTCATCGTCAGAAAGCTGCAGCTCGCCGTCCAGCCCACAGCACCGAGGACCAGAGAGCCTGGAGAGTGAGGATGAACACAACAAAGGTAGAACTATCACACGCCCTTCTTCTAAATGAAGCCGCTGTAAAGATAAGCACTGACACTGGCGTCCTCTGTCAGATACAGACAGCCCCTGTGACGACCTCTGTAAAGGACCAGGCTCTGACATGTTCTTCACCGGACAGACTGATCCTGCTGTGCTGGCGGACGCCTCCTTCAGCAGCCTGGAGGGGAGAGCAGACTTCCCCCATATTTCCTTCATGCATAACGTGAGCTACATACTCCCCAACGGAGCTGCAGACGCTGGGCTCCCATTGGGTTCACTTCCCAGCCAGAGCATGGTTCCAGAGGGAAAGCCCTCATCGGGGCCGCTAATGATTCCGATGCCCACACTGCCTCCAGCCGTCTCTGGAATTGTGGACGACCTGGAGAAGAGGGATGTTGTCCAAACCTTTGGGATTCCTACTGGACTGCATCCTGCAGGAACGTCTGCTATGCAGCCCTTGATCCAGGGCTTCAAAACGGCGTTGTCGCACAGCCAGGGCGGCGCTGACGGAGCGCCGGGATCTTCACCTGCTGCACCGCAGGTTTCACACCAGGGTCCAATCAGACCCGTCAGCGTCATGTCTTCTCCAATACTAACCTGCCAAGACCCCGCCAACATCAGCCCGGGCCTGGCCTCTTCTCTACCACATGTGGAGACATCGCAGAGCAAGCGCCCAGGCTTACCGTCTGCCCTGCCTTCTCCCTACACCCTGCCCCCCCCTGCTCCATCGCCTGGACAAGTACAAGCTGCTGTTCCACCAGCTGTGCCCACGCACACCCCTGGACCTGCCCCGAGCTCCAGCCCAGCACTTACACACAGCACGGCGCACAGCGACTCGACATCCTACAGTAACAGCAGCGCTTCCACTGGGAGCCCCCCGGTCGCTCCCGGCAGCCCCCTCACTCTCCAGCAGCCAGCAGCAGCGCAGCAGCAGCTGCCGATGGGCTGCGGGACGTGTGGCTGTCACAATAACTGCGGCAGCCGAAGCAGCAGCGTGAGCGTCGCCTCGGGTCAGACGCCTTTATTCTTCCCCGGCCACCAGATGGCAGCAGCGCACCAGATGTTCAGTGTTCCTCCGCCACTCTTCCAGATCACAAGCCTGTGCAATAGCAGCTACCTCACCCAGCCTCACCCTCCTCACCAGGCCAACGGGCCCACCTCCCTGCCCCCTTACTTCCCCAGTGCCGCTCCAGCACATCCGTCCCCTTACCTTAACACTCACGCCCAAAGTCATGCAGAGGTACCGTCGCACATGCTGGCCACGCAGGCTACAGCAGTGGTAGCCGCCGCCAGCTACAGCCTCCAGCAGCCGATGGCTCCAAACACGTCGTTCTGCCACCATGTCTACCAGCACGTGTACCCTCCCCTGGGCATGCTGCCCCCCTCTCTGTTGGGGGGAGGTGGCATTAATAAGAAGAACGGGAACGTGTCCTGTTATAACTGCGGTGTGAGCGGCCACTTTGCTCACGAATGCAACCAGCCCTCCATTGACTCCACACAGCAAGGTAACAGCTACACCCAACACTAACTGTCTTTACTCAGCTGTGCATGGTCACCACATGTGCTTTCAGACACAGTCAGAAGAATCTGCGTCGGTCACATTATCGTAGTGAGTGTGTGTGCAGACCCTACAAGTGTGTGAAACAGCGCAGTGTCACCTCCTACGTTAAGATGAACGTAATAGCTGAATACAAACAAGTACAGTTATCAGCCATAAAAGGCTGATGGACGCCAAAGTTTGTGTACGAGAATGAGGTGGTGTGGGATTTCTCACTGATTCTGTGGGTCCAAGTTCAAATCTCAGTGACCTTGACCTCAAGATCAAAGGTCAGGTTTTCTGAAGGTATTTTGAATG